ACGCTAAATAAATAAATAAATAAACGCTAAGCTAAGAAAATACGTAGAAAGTAGTGACGTGCTACACTATGGATATGTGCGGGGTAGAAGGGAGGTAGAAGGGCGTTGTAGTTCACATAGCTTAGCGGGAGTATTGTAGTTTAGTTAGCTTATTTCGCGAAGTATGAATAGATGCCTATGCTTAAAAATACGTTTTTCATACAAATCTAGCATACTTACTTGGGCCTGAAGCGTTTTTTAAATTATTTAGTACATTTTAATGTACATTGGGCGTTTAGCACTTTTCCCATTCTAGTTTGTTGGGTCTTAGGAGGTGTAAGGTGTAGATAGTAGGATTTTATGTCTTCGTATTTATTTTATTACAGAAATAATAATGTAATTTACGAAGATGAACAAAAGATTTTATACCCTTTGCAAACGTACCTGTTATTAGTTATCAAAGCTTAAGAACAATTCGCTGTCTGATTAAACTACGCAGTATTGCAGAATACTGCTATTTTGAACTAAGCATACAGTGACGAGCAGAACATGCGAAACCTAATCGTGAAAAAGCAACCAACTTCTTACGTCAAAATGACGCTGTATAAAAACATACAATAACTCCTAGTAAAGGATTCTGTTAATTACAAATTAAGATCTGACTGTATAGCCAATTAGACGGCACAGCTTGTTCCGAAGGACGAAAAATTTTACTACTACCAGTTTTCAAACAGTCAATTATGTTGTGTATGGTATTGTCATATACAGGATGTAAATTTGAGACGGGGCAGCAAGGCCAGCCACCTTAAACGTTGTAGTTACAGGAAAACGGTTGTAGAAGACTATCCATGAATTTTGAAGATATTTTGATTGGCATTCACAGATTTTGAAAAAATGGTACAGTTAACAAGATAAAAGGTAATTTTTACAAAACGTTTTTTTATGCCATTCGATCCGGTCTCTGTTAAGAATCAATAGTCGCTATGGGACCAACTGAGGTAAGAGTACTCGAAATGTCAGAAATCACAAAAAACTTTTTATAATATTCTTTATTGTACAAAGAATATTATAAAAAGTTTTTTTTTATAATATTCTTTGTAATATTTTTTTTGTTAATATTTTTACCATACATTTTGTGGGGACATGTTTAATAATTAGTTATTCTAGGTTAAGGAAACTAACAAATTGACTTTTATTTTATTTTATTGAATATCTTCGAAATTCATGGATAGTCTTCTAAAACCGTTTTCCTGTAACTACAGCGATTAAGGTAGCTGGCCTTACGGCCCCGTCTCAAATTTACACCCTGTATATAAAAACAAATAATTTCGTTTACGGTCGACACGGATATTTATGTCATTTTAACGCATTCTAGAGTTCAAAAGGGAAAATAGGTCAGTAAAAATATTCGTCTTGAAGTTTAAAATTTCTCATGTCAATTTGTCGTTTACGTAATTAGTCTTTTCGGTGTTTAATGTTGAATTACTTAAATATTTACGTCTGAAGTAAATTTGACATTCGTTCCAGATAGATTATGCTCAAATTTTATTGAATTTTTTACTATAATGTTTACAGGTTTAATGTAACGACAATGTAAGTTATTTGTGTATTTCCAGTCGTAACCACTAGCGATAATTCCGTTCGTCACCACCACCATGAACAAATAGAAGATAAAATTGTATAAAAAATATATAAACAATAATAAAAAGAACCTACAACAGTAGAATTAAAAAAAACATCAACAAATAATAAACCGACAAAAATATTTTTTGTGAGTTTTAGCAGTTTAGTCCTACGATGCAGTAAAATCATTTCCGGAAATCCAGAATTGGAAAAAGTAATGAATTAAAATTTAGTGATTTTAACAACTTCATATCACTCCCCTTGTAGATCTGTTCATGTATCTACATAGATATATACATATGTGGAACACCTTTTTCTGACCACTTTACATGATCTGCTTATTTTTGTAATAAAAAGACAATTGTGATTAAGTAATTAATTATATTAACATGGGTTGGGAAAGATGAATGTTTTATTATTGTAAGTACTTTTAAGATTTTACTTTGAATAAAAAAGTAATCTAAATTTATATAAATCTGTAATTTTAAATTCATTCACGGTTTAGTAATTTGTGCGACTTTATTTTGTTTGTTTAGGGTGGTTTGGTATGGGATTTTTTGTGTATCGCGACTGGGAAAACATGATTTTGTTTATTCTTCCATGCTTTAATCAATTCGAGTGCTGACGCGAAGTTTTTTAATGGCGACAGCACTTGACATTTGTGTAAAAAAAATGTTGCTATTGTTTATGTTGCATTTATAATTTATAAAATGTAGTTATACAATAATTTGTTATTTCTAAATGTGATCAATAAAATCAAAATATTGTGTAGAAATTGTTTCATTTATTCAAATGGTTGTGATTTTTTTATATTATGGTTGCAGGCTTAGAATAGTTGCAGGGTGCAAGCAGGAAAATTATAGTTTATAACTAGAGATTCCCAAACCTTTTTCTCTCGTAGACCACGTGCCAATTGTTTTCTGTTTTGATTAAACCCCCTGCCTTTGTTTATTTTTTTACAAATTTGTTTACAAATTCATTCAACTGTGTTTTTGAAGGTCACGGCCCATGCCGTGTCAGCCGTGATAAAGGGACCTGTAAAAGGCCCATGTACGACGAATCACTTACTTTGAAAAAAACTATACGCGATTTAGACCCGAAAACTATAATTTGTTTGAAGTGAAATGTTTACTTCATAGGTAATCATTCTTATGTCTATAATACGACAGTATTTAGATGCTATCTGTTTAATGTGGATCATTCCATTTATAGAAAGTCAAAATTTTGGTCACGACCTGCCTCTACGAGTTCTTCCTTTAACGGCTCATGCACTCCCAATAATTATTTTTTTCATTGCCTTGGACCCATTTCAGTTTAGAGTTTGGGAATCATTAGCCTAGACCGTAATGTCATGTGCATACTATCGCGTCCGTGTGATACCACACTGCCTCACATATGCTACAACAGCCCGTCCGGTAATCGGCTACGAGTACAGCTACGCACGAAGAGCTCTAGAAGACAAGGTACAGTAGAGCTTCTTGTGCAAGAATTCGTCCAGGTTACTACTGCCACCTTATCTGTTGCTGCCACCAAACTGTAATGTGAGCATTACTGCGTTTCGGTTTTCACAGTGCTGGTGAAATTACAGCCACTTGGGACTTTTCAACTTATATATCTCAGGGTGACGGGTGTTTTACGCCAATGCTCCTCACATCTTTGCGATTCAACCTTTTGACCGGTACTGACAAAAGCTAGTTTCATTCCCTGGACGTCAAGCCTAGTGATACATAAGATGTCACTTATGAATTTCCACCCACATTACTTCAATTCTCCTAAGTTAAACAAGAACATAACTGAGCATAAAATGCAACTATGAATATATACTTAACTAGAATATATAAATAATATATGGAATATCTAAACATTCATTTATTAATTTCAATTGAAAATGAAGGAGTTTCATTGACGCTTTAAGGCGTCGTTGGCGTACAGGGCAAGTTAATGTAAGACGCTTTAAAAGGGAGCAGAGGAAAAATTCCTAATCTTCTATTTGATTTTAGAGGGGTATATATTATACATATATTAGGGGTATACTTTAAAGTTAAAAATAAAATATTAAATGAGTAACTACACGATATATTCACGCATAGCCATTAATCAGAAACAAAACAATAAATTCGATCGATCGATCTTTGTATTAATAATTATAACAAACTAGTGGAGTAATTTCACAAAAAATAATTGAATATCAATTCAATAAAAATTTAATTAATACAGTGAATAGCGACATCTCTCGCCAGGACTAGTAGCTGTAAAGGTACTAACTGGGTGATAAATCTGTAATAAATTTCTCATAGATGGCGCTACGACTAAAAAGTCGTTGAAAGACCAAGTACAAAGACACGACGCAAGCACATAGAAAAATTCGTGAGGTCCGTTGGTTCGTTCCGTGGCTTAGTTGGTATAGCGTCTGGCACGGTATGCAAGAAGACGTCGGTTCGAATCCGACCGGATCGAAGGAATTTTTTCTGAGTGTTCGATCTTTGTATTAATGATTACAACAAAC